TTAACCTTAACAAGTAAGAAGGTGGAAGTAGTCAAAGTGTTCCTTTGATGTAGGTACGCCCTGTGATGCCGTCAGGCTCGAGCCGTCCTTGATGTGTGCCGCTCCGTCCTTTGAAGATGGCCGCTGCTGCGACGCAAGTCAGTGTTGCGTCAGGTGTGTGCGAACAATGAAAATTCGCAGGAACTTGACTAATTGCTTTCACTCCTTTGATTTCAGGATACCGACGGACTGTCTCTACGTCCTAGGAACGGATTCACACCCGAAGGAGATACGACGTGGGATGCGGATACGTAGGTAAGTAACAGATCACGTTTTTTCAGGTTTCACTACGAACGTTTATTCAATAGCGTCCTACGCTTGAACTCTGTACAATGGCTACGGATTACACTCACTTGATTTCCGCACGACGGTTTATTTCACCGTTCACAAACACTCGCGATCAGTTCGCTTGCGACAAGCGTTATGCCGCCTATTAGTTTGCGCATTCGTTAAACGGTTTCGTATCGATTGTGATTTTATCGCGGACTAGATTTGCCGTGGCTTGTCTAGCAGTTGCACGCGTATACACTGATCGAACGAAATTAACGAGACAGTATTGTCCCGGACAAGTCGCACAACTTTCGCATGCAAAGATGCTACTCGCCTAATAACGGTATTCACACGACTGCCACTCGCGTTATCCCGAATCACGATAAGCGTAAAACAAAGTCTACGCTTCCGTAGGTACGTCTGTCTTCGAACCGTGCAGACTACGTCTGACTGTGCGATCGAGTTCGTACCGTGCCGACTGTGTCTAGTGATGTTCGCTCCCGGCTTTTATAGTACGCCTCCCGCTTGCCCTACCTTGGCCCGCCGGCCAATCGCGGAGCGGCGCCCCACCGCTGGGCTCAGCGCGAATCGCTGCGCGGCAGTGTAGCGCGTGTTCAGCGAGAGTTCCTATTTCGCATTTTATCGGTGTAAGGTGCGTTCGACAAGAGTTCCTATTTAACCAATTTTTGGTTATCGCTCTTTTATCGTGTCCTGATGTTCGGGACCGGTTCACTATCGCATAAACATGCTAGATAATTTATGAAATAAATAATGACGTACATTATTCTTGAGGGTGTTCCGTAAACAACTAAAATAAATTATTATTAAAATATTATCACCACAAGCTTGTTTAGGAATAAACGAATGTCTCGAATGTTTAACTAAAAATGCCAATAAACGTAAATAACTTTTTACAGGTAAACAAACATAACGATAATGTCTCAACATTCGGGAGTCTCGTTTATTCGACCTTAAAATTAGCCTATCGATTATATACTTAATTTAACTAAGAGAATATATATTGTGTTAACTGATATATTTTAGAATATTTATTTTTTTGTGTTTGGCTCGGCGTGCATCCGATATAGATCATGTGTATCTTCTTTTTGGGCGTATGTCCCAAATTGACTTGGGATGCTGTTCTATCCCTAGGTCCTTTACATTTGAACAAAGATTCAAGTTTTTATAGGTTATGGGGTTCCAGGTCATCGGGAACCCTATCTCGACCTATGATCTCTCGGATGTCCGCTGAGACAATTTAAGGTTTAGTTTTTATTTGCTGTTTTTGTGTTTTTATATTACGACTTATAATTAGGCGTCCAAAGTCATCACCTGACTTTTCGGTAACTAAAAATTAGTAGAAACTAAAACTGGCTTTGGAGAGTCGTTTGCTCCGGGTTCACACTTGTATCTGATTACTTAATGATCTGGACTAGTGATCATGGTTCCAGCGCACCTCTATCGCATCTTGCGATTACGCCTTATTTGGACATTTGCGTTGGAGATTTTATTAACGCAGTTCTTGACTTACCGTCTTACTGCAAGTGTGAATTCGTTGCAAGCACTCTTCCAAATGCTTTGTAAATAAAATAACAAAAAAACGCATGGACGCGATCGCTTAACTTAAATTTACGATTATACTTATGCTATATACATATTTACATCTTTTAGGCGACTATCGTCCCGGATGTGCTGGGATCTCTCTGGGGACCTTGTTGACCATGGGTCACCTTGCTGAATGCGCTGAGATGCTCATCAGTCGCTCACCTGGTGTGTATCAGTTCTGGGTATTTAGATCACTTGCGATCGCTGTCGACTCACCTTCCGGATCATCTGGAATAGTGTCTTTGCCTGTTTCGACTGTAGCGGACTTCTGCGGATCGCGACCAGTGGTCGGTCGCAGGGTCACCACTCGACCTTGCCTTCACTGACTGGGTCACTACTCGACCTTGCCTTCACTGGCTGGGTCACTACTCGACCTTTTTTTTTTTGCGATCGGCGCAAGGCGGAGGAATGCATTTACGCATACCACGGTGGGTCGGCCCACCGGGTTATGTGGGACTCACCTATGCCCGGGGTACTAATTACCCCGGTACTGAGGCACCTCGCCCCGGCTAGTTTCCCCACGTAATCGAGCCATTGAAATGACCCGACTGCCGTAGAGATCCCAGCCGAGGCATCAGCCTCAGCTAGTTCTACCCACTAAACCTCCGCCCGGGTCTGATCACAAACCCCTTCTCCGTGATGCTGTCGCTGGAGGAACTGTTTGCCACATATCAACTCCAACGGCAACTGGATGCGTCGTTCCAAACGCTCTCTTCCATATATATATATATATATATATATATGTCAAAGGGTTTGTTCCGAGACAGTTAAAAATCTTACAGTTTTTAAATACATTTTAATAAAGCAAACTGATTGTGACCTAAAAAAGTTAAATGTTTTTTTCCGTTCTCGAGATATTATGTTTTAAAGTCTTTCAAGACACTTGCATAATGGCAGCTTTCAGGACAATAGTGATTTCCAGGACTGCCCTGGAATAATTCTATGTATAATGGTGTATTTCAGGACAAATAACAATGTACGATGCTAAAAATGTTTCTATGTTAAGATAAATTCACATTATTACCCCATTTGTCTTGCTCGCTTTCAGGACGAAAGCGAGCAAAATAAACTTGGCCAATGATATTATGGATGCGTTCGGGGAAACGCGATTAGCGCTATTAACATTTCTCCTTCGTGTTTCTTCTTTCTAAACAAAAGGAAAAACGAAGAAAAAGAAACACTGGTAGCGCTCTCCCCGAACACACCCTATGTGTATAATGTGAATTATCCTTAAAATACATGTGATCTAACCCTTATTGCAAAACGTTGGTATTACCGAATGCGACACATGCTGTGTGCCGGTTTTGTATGCAGGTTATATAGCCTTGAATTGCGCGGTACTAATATTAGTTTTGATAAAAATATTTCATTATTTTTGGTATTTTTAGCTTTTTACTTTAGCCAAACTATGTTTTCTTTACTCAAATTGAAACATACTAAAACATTAATAGTTGTGAAATCTACTAGTCTAATTAAAAAGAAAAAAGATTATTTGATAAAATTAGACAATGGAAACGATGGGTTGGAATATTTCTTTGTAAATCGGGTAAGTAAAATAAACTGATTGTGACCTAAAAAAGTTAAATGTTTCTTTCCGTTCTCGAGATATTATGTTTTAAAGTCTTCCAAGACACTTGCATAATGGCAGCTTTCAGGACAATAGTGATTTTCAGGACTGCCCTGGAATAATTCTATGTATAATGGTGTATTCCAGGATTTGAAAAATAAAATATTATTTAAAATTTTTGGATGTTTAGAACATTATAATAAATATAAATAATAATAAAAAATACAAGAAATTGCAATCATATCCAATTGGTTCAAATAAAAAAATATTTAACAAATGTTACGGAAAAAATGCAATTAATTTTAGTTATTTTCAGATGAAAGACACACTCTTATAGAAATAAAAAAGAACATAGATACCAACTCACCAAAAATTCTAATAAAGGATGTTAACAAAGGGTCAAGTGACCAATATGAAAATAATGAAACTACTGGTAATTTTTATATACTGATTTTTTTTATAATTATAATTATTGCCTATTATACTGCATAAATTATATGTGAAAGATCAAATTCTTTAATATTGTTACTTTTAGTATTTAAATACTGAAGTTTCAATATTCTAGCACTGTGCTGTAAGAGAATCTTTGTCGAAAGTATATATCTTAAAATATATCTTATCAGACCTCTATTCTAATATTAAGTAAATCAAATGATACAATAATTTAAGCATTTAATAGAATCTTAATTTAATTTTAATAAAATAAATTTAATTTTAAATAATAAAAATGTATTGCGTGTGAAGAAACATAGAAATGATACTAACGCTATACTAATTATAAGTAATTTCTATACTAATAATTTGTAACAATCTTCAGAATTGCTTCACAAAGTAAATTTAAGAATGCACAGTTTAACATTGTAGATGCAGTTGGTTCACTGATGCAATTTAGAAGAGCAGTGAAAGATATAATAAATTGGATATATGTATCATTAACAAATTATGAAGTATGTAATAAGATAACATAAAGTAAAGTAATTTAATTTATTTCAATAAAAATATATTTAAAAAATGTGTATTATGTTATAATATTATTAAAAAATTGTTATAAATAATGAACTGCTATTCTACCCAGATAGCACAATAGTTTGCAAAGAGTTCAAAAGAGTTCGCAAAGAATTTATTGAAGCTTCACTAAATTCTTTGCGAATTCTTTTGAACTCTGCGAACTATTGTGATATCTGGGTAGCATTACGCAGTAATGAAATCTTTGTCGAAAGCAATTTTTAATGGACACAAACAACAATAAAAGCCATACGTGTAAATTATATTATTAAGAGTAATATTTACAAAGATGTTTTTGAATTATTTGCAGGTAATGAGCCAATAAATATAACAAATAATGACAAATGTGCTTCCAATGCAGACACAATAAATCAATTTCATATTTAACATGAGGAATCAAATACTATAGTAAACTCATATTTAGATTTGGATGTGAAGTCCGATTTTCACAATGATAAATTACAGAGCAATGTTATAACTAATAAAAATTTACAAAGTCATACATTAGATAAAACTAAATCTTCTAAAACCTATCCTCGAATTATAGAAGACAAGAAATGCAAAATAAATATGACTATTTTATCAAAAAGTAGTGACACAACAGCAAATAGTTCATGTAATACATCTATTCTGGGGAATTTGGAACTTTCTGATGTAAATCTTTCTGATGTAAATGTTTCTGATATGAATGGAATAGACATAAATAATTTTGAAAATTGTGGTACAAATTTAAATAATAATAATGGAGAAGAAATGATTCACGAAGTACTAGCTGAAAATAAATCCACGTTTACATCTATCACTGAAAATACTGAACTGGACAGCACTATAGTACCATTTTGTGATTTAAACGGAGTTAAGAATTCTTCTATAAACAACGATATAAATAACAATGACAATAAATTATATTGCAGTAACTCACAAATTGAAAATGTCTCGCAAAATACAGGTATGTATATTTTTATTAATTTGTTCCTTTAAAAAGTATTTAATTATGTTCGCAATATTGGTTTCGCTAAAGACAGTATATTTACAGTATATTTAAAAAGAACAATATTATAAAAGTTAAATTTAGATTTGTTATTAAGCTTAAATAAAATATTTAATAATTTTTATCCATCAAATTATTACGTAGGGTAATATAAACTAATACTAATTTAATAACTAAAAATATAATATAAACTAATTTTTAATTTTTTTTCTTCGCTCACAATAATAAAAAAGTAACAGTTTACGTAGTTAAGCGTCGTTTACAATGAGATTTTAAAACGTAAGACGTAAGAAATTGAACAATCACAGACAAGATTAGAGAAGAATAATCTCTCTTCGACTGTATTAGTCAATTTCTTAAGTCTTACGTCTAAAAATCTCATTGTAGACGACGCGTTACATATCGTTTATAAATTCTTTTGAATTAAGCTAACTTAATGTAAATAATGTGGTATACTTTTTAAATATAATTTAACTTTAATTTGTTATTTTTAAAAATTAAATTCATTAAGTATTAACTTATTAAATTGTCAATAAATAAAATTTATTAATTTTACTCAATTATTTTCTTTACGTAGCATTTCTATAATTTGATAGAATAATTTGATAAAAATAAAGCATAATATTTTTAACATTCATATATTTTTAAAATAAAATCTTTTAAAATGTTTATTATTTCAGATTTTGAGAAAAATAAAATTTCTAATGTAAGCGATAAAGATTCAGATTATGAACCATCTATTCAGAGTTCAAATGATACTGATATTGAACATACTGATATTGAAATAAATGATGATTTAGAAATTGCAAATAATGAATCTAGCATATTAGCAAATTCTTCAGAAAATGCAAACGAAAAAATATGTTAGAAAAAGAATGAGAAACATGCAAAGATGATGAATTATTTGTAGAATTGTTTCAAGGGCCCAAAGGAGATAAAAAATATAATTTTTGCTTTTACTGCAATACTATGCAAAGTAAAATTGCTCGGCACCTAGAATTAAAACATAAAAATGAAGAAGAAGTAAAAATGTTTTTATTACTTCCAAAAAAATCTAGAGAGCGAAGAGATGCAATTAGTCAAATAAGAAAAAGAGGCAATTTTAAATATAATACACAGGCAGATTTAAATAACGGTTCCATGATTGTTGTAAGAAGACCTACTAAAGAAGAGAAGCAATGTGGTTCTTATTTTTTACCATGTTCTAAGTGTAGAGGACATTATGCAATACATAATCTCAGGCATCATTATCGCATTTGTGCTAAGAAGAAAGATACAACTCGAAATGTATTAAAATTAGCACGAAGCGCTGCACAATCTGTTCATAATCGTGCAAGCCATAAATTAAGAAAGGACATTCTTCCTGTCATGCGAAATGACAATATTTATAAATTAATAAAGTACGATTTATTAATTATACTATACGGAAATTACCTCTGTCAAATTCATAGATTGCAGCATTTAGGAGACCACATACGACGAAACAATTACGACTTCTTGGACGATATTTAGAAGTATTAAAATCAATAGAACCGGCAATACAAGAATTACAAATGCTATTTGACCCGAAATATTATGATATTGCTATAAAAGCAGTAAATATAATTGCTAAATATAATGAAGACACAGAATCATATGATATACCATATAATGCTACAGCTATGGGCACATGTTTAAAAAAATTATGTAAGATCTTAATCAACGAATTTATTAAACAACATGAATACGAAAAACAAAAATCAGCAAAAAATTTTCTAAAGATTTTAGAAGTCGAATATGGTAGTACCGTTAATAAAACAGTTACAGAAATACAGACTAGAAACAGTCGAAAGAAAAAAGTTAATCTTCCGAAAACATCAGATATCAAAAAGTTAACCAATTATTTAGAAGAAATAAGAGTATCTAGCATGCGAGAAATAAAAAATAAATTCACGTTTTGTGCTTGGAAATCACTTGCTGAAGCAATATTAATAATGATTCAAATTTTCAATCGGCGACGTGCAGGAGAGATAGAAAGAGCTTACATTGTTGATTACAAAAATTTCATAAAAATTACAAAAGAGGATGAATTATATAAAAGGTTACCACAAAAAGAAAAAATATCTGCTTTAAAGTACATTCGTTTCACAATTCGTGGCAAGCTAAATCGGAACGTCCCAGTCCTTTTGAATGCTAAAATGAAAGAGGCTTTAGACATAATTTTAAGATATCGGAAATTGGCAGGAGTAAGTTCAAAAAATCCATATATATTTGGATTGCCAGGTGCAGATAAAAAACGATTTAGATATTTAAGAGCGAGTAAATTGATGCGTGAATTTGCTAATCTATGTGGAGCAGAGAACAAAGAAAGCTTACGTGGGACTATTTTACGGAAAGACATGGCAACAAAATGTTCACACTTACCAGATAGTGAAATTTCTCTCATTGCTGATTTTATGGGTCACCATAAGGATATACATAAAAATATTTACAGACAGCCTGTAGTAGAATCTGATATTTTAAATATGGCCAAAATTTTAGAGAAAACTCAAGATATATCTACACATAACACTGATATTGACACTACTAATAATACAAATACTAATACTACTAATTCAAACAGTACAACAGATGCTAATACTTCAGAGAATAGTATTAACGAAATTCAAAGCTTAGGTATTTTAAAAGTTCTTCAATTCTTTTATAATTTTAGAGAATACTTTTATAATATTATACTTATTGTTAGTAATTGTATTAGATTGTATCATATGGAATTGCTGATATTTGATAATTGGATTATTTCGTTCGATTTAAAAAGCTCGAATAAAAAAGGAATATACAATTTAATATTAAGTAGACAGAAAAATATTATTGCTAATAATGTATATTTTGAGTGTATAAAATCTATTTCCTTAAAAGTACAACATTTTTATTTTGACACAAAAACGACAATTTCATATGATAATCTATCATATATATATAAATGAAAAAAGAAAATTTGTATTATATATTTTTTTACATAAAGTTTATTTTTAACAATATAGTTGAAGACGAAGCATCAGAGAATAATTTGCCAAAGAAAATTTTGCTAAAACAAAAAAATGTAAAAAAACGCGCCATAGAAAATATAAATAATTCAGATGAAGAATGTGCGCCAAAAAAGAAACGATTCAGTAAGTCAAATAATATTACAATTATACATGTATATAAAATCATTAAAGAAATGCATACCTTTTTCTTAATATTAAAATTACTTTTCTTAATTTGTGACGATATATTTATAGATTTAATTATAATTTATGTTTAGCACCTCCTTACGGAAAGACCAGAAGAATACGTTGGACTTCTGAAGAAAAGCAAACAGCTTTATTACTCTTCGAAACGAATATTAATAATTCTACTTTACCTTCGTTAAAGGAAATAATATCCAAAACGCGCAAAAACATTTTGAAAAATCGACAGCCAGCAGCAATAAAAACTTGGATACACAATCAATTTCGCAATAAAATATAAATGTCATTAAATAAAAGAAAATTAAAAGTCTTTAAGTCTTAATAAACATAAAGTAACTTAACATAATAAAAATAATTGTGTACAATAAATAAATATAATTACAGAATTATATTTATTTACACAATTATTTTTATTATGTTAAGCTACTTTATGTTCATTAAGACTTAAAAACTTTTAATTTTCTTTTATACTTTATCACTTATACTGATATTACATCTAAATAATCTGTTTCTATGTTTTTTAGTATCGCTTTTTAGTATTTATTCAGTTTTGTTTATTTATATATAAATGTAATATCAGTATAACAGTAATAAAGTGTATGAATAGTCATAAACGTGATAAAGTGTAAAAGAATTATTTTTATTTACATATTTATTTTTATTATAGTAAGGCACTTTGTGTTTATTAAAACTTAGAGACTTTAAATTTCTTTTATTTTTAATTATTTTTATTGCGTTAAGCCACTTTGTATTCATTAAAACTTAGGGACATTTAACTTTCTTCTATTTTGTATTATTTTTATTGCGTTAAGAAACTTTGTGTTCAATAAAACTGATTGTTAGAGTCTTTAAATTTTCTTTTATTTTTAATTATTTTTATTGCGTTAAGCCATTTTGTGTTCATTAAAACTTAGAGATCTTTAATCTTCATTTACGTAATTATATTTATATTTTATAATATTACTTTTTAGGAACTCTTTTATATCTTAGCGCACAGCTTAATTACATACATTTGTAATTACATTAAATATTTTGAAATGAGGTAAATGTTAAAGTAACTATTCTTTCCGTATAAGTAACTATATTTTTAAAAATAATTTTCTTTTATACTAAGACAATGTACTGCAAAACATTATATATTTATATGTAGCTTTAATTTTTTATGTAATATTTGTAATTCATATAAAGATATATACTTTTTCGCCCGCAGACCGCGATATCGAATATCTTTTTAATTCGATTTATATTTTTTTAATTTGTAAGTTCTGTGATTTTTTTAATTTGTAGGTTCTGCGAATATTTGTTTCTGAATTAAAACAGGATAATTATATAAATAGTATAATATAATAATTAATAAAGAATAAATTTTATGATGCACGTTTAATCATGTGTTTCATTAATTTCCTTGAGATTAAAAAAAATACATTTTCTTAGAAACAAAATTTTTTTACTTATAAATTAAAGTGTATTTATTAAAAATTTGTCTTAAATATACTTAGACGAAAATTAAGTTTCTGCTAATATACAATGTTCTCCTTTGTATTGATTATTGTCTATTGACTTTAAACAATCATTAGTCGTAAGCGCAAATATAAATAATTTTATTCTCTTATAATTATTAATAAAAAAATTTTTTTTAAATCATTAACAAAAAACTTAGAATAAATGTACTCGAAGGTACGTTGTTTCTCGGATGTTTAATGTCATATTATTTACAATTTGTTTTTGTCCTGGAAATGATCGCTAGGCCACAAAATGGGATATTTTTTCAATTAATAGGCATACAACGAAGCGAAAATAATATTATACATATACAAATATTACTTATAGCTATTCTTTCCATGCTTCGTTGCCTGAGATGCGTGTATCGTGTTATAGTGGGCTAATTTTCACGTCGTGTGCCGATATTCATATTGATAAGAATTACAAATATTGTTATTAAGAATTATTCAGGTTTATTGAAGAAAGTTAACTGTTGTTGTCAGATCACGTTTTCAAAAGTTATACGTCCAATGAATTAAATCTAAAAAAGTAAATATTATTTTCTGGCCTAATGTTCGTTTCAAGAGCATAATAGATTATTATCTATTATAACAAATAATGTGATATTAAATATATATAGTATAATATATATAATATATAATATATAGTATAACAAATAATGTGATATTAAATAATGATATTAAATAATTTGCCTCGAAATATAAATTATCCTGTAAGTATTGCCTCACAATGAGATGATCTTGCTTATTATTCTGTATAACGGGTTGCAAGTCAAAAGATATTTATTGTTTTCTGGAAAATTTAAATAAAAAAATCATATTATGTAAAAACCCATTAATATACTTATATATTACAGGATAAATGTATTCCAAAGCAAATTATTTATTCAAGTAATTATATAATATTACATTATTTGTGAGAATTTGGTTGTGTCCTGTAAATGAACGTTAGGTTATTTACCCCCAGAAAATATGTACACTTTTTTTAGATTTAACTCATTGGACGTACATATTAACATTTAAAAACACGATCTGATAATAACAGATCTGATAATTAATTAATTTCCTTCTGCGAATATGTGTAATTCTTAACAATACAAATCATTCTTAACAATATGAGTATATCAGCACGCGGCGAGAAAATCAGCCCCACT